ATAAGTTAGTCATGGTACTGCAAATTCCCATAGTAGTTCATGTAGGAAGACTAGGTTAACAAATTTCTATTGAATGTGTATATGTTGAAGTATTTGTATCAAAAATGTCTCAGTACACTGTATACGGGTGAAAGGAGCTAAATATACAAAGATACCCGGAGATTCTTGTAGAAGAACAACAAAGATACTTTTCAAAGACTTGACTTAAAATGTGCTATTGTAACAATGACACATCCATCTGATTTGTATGTTTTGATATGTATGTATGTTGTATGTCTTGTGAAATATAGCCAAAATACACAAAATTAAATTGCCACTCAACTACATGTGTTTCTGGATGCATTGCACATGTGTGGACCTCTTTGCTGCATATGTTTCTGGATGCATTACACATATAGTACATTCAGAAAATATTCAGACCCCTTAATTTAAAAATAAAATAAAAAAATAAATGTTTCAGCTTAATGCTACAATTGTTTAGATTTTTTTTTCACATCAATCTACACTCAATACTCCATAATGACAAAGCAAAAACAAGACATTTAAATTTGTAGTGTGTGTACACTGTTACTTGATCTATATTTTGTATGCATTTTGGACTTCACAGTACTACCATTGCTTGAAAAGGCATGTTCGTGACTTGGATATGCATGCACCGGTCTATAAAGGAAAATCCTGCACAGCTCAGAGACAGAATTACACTGTTGCTTGCATAACTCTTAAAGAAACAATTTAGACAACTTAATAACTAAATCTTAATGAAGTTGTTATGGTGCCATTAGGCCCCCGGGAGCATTCTTGTCATCAGGGAATAAACCGTTCTCAAACAGTTTAACCCCAAAGTTACCTCCAACATCAATCTCAGCTCCCCTCAGCAGCATCCAGCTTTTGAATTTTCAAATTCGAGAACCATGGATTGCCACCGGGCAGTGGCACCACTAATTGGCGGAGTGAGGTTAGCTGATTCTCTCAGCCAATCAGTGACTCCCCATTCACAATACTGGCTTGGAAAATGTTTGTTCTCTCCAAGTCTGTTTTGTGAAAGGGGAATCACTGACTGGCTGAGAGCATTCAAGAACAGTTTAACCCTTGAAGGTAAGAATGAAGTTTTTGTGCCTTGAGTGTTCCTTTAAGTGGAAATTTGGAAACCAGGACTATTCCTAGAGCTGGCCGCTGAGCAGTCAAGAGAGAAGGGCCTTGGTAAGAGTGGTGACAAATACACTGATGGTCACTCATCAATGTGAACATTCCTTTATGGCAGACTGGCCAGACGGAAGCCTCTCCTAATTGCAAGACACATGGAAGCTTGAAATTGCAGAAAAGCACTTAAATGACTCTCAGACCATAAGAAGAAGCAAAATTCTCTAGTCTAATGAAATAAAGATCGAACTGTTTGGCCTCCATTCAAATGATCTTGTCCAGAGGAAGCCAGAAACCAGCTCACTTGTGCAATACAATCACAAGGGAGGAAGCATGAAGGTGGTAGCATCACGCTTTGCGGCTGATGTTCAGTTGCAGGGACTGGGAAACTGGTCTGAGGTGAGAGGGAGCTTAATGCAGCAGAGACTTAAAAGGATACTTAAAAGGATACTCCAAACACATAAAGCACTTTAGGTTGCTGAAGTTTATTGTGTGTAGAGTGTGTCCTCTTCTTTTCTTTTTTATGAAACTGCAGATTTGAAGGGGCACTGTATGTAAACACTTACAACCCCAGAAATACAGATGCAAAAATTGAAACATTTGCATACAGTGGCAAATACCTACACACATTCAAGCATGCAACTTCTGTTATGACACTGACAGGGTTAACAAGTGGTGGCTTTCACGCCAAAGCTACATAATTCATATTATATAAATTAATATAGGAATGTGATAGAGGTCAGATGGCTTACAATAAGAATTGCTCTTTTGATCAACCAAGGCTTTTACAAGGTGTAAAATTAATTGCTCTTTTGATCAACTAAGGATTATGCAAGTTGTGAAATGTTGCTCATCAGTGCCTGCAGATTTAGTTTCAATGTAAACTAATTGAATGTGGCCGGGGGCCTCCTGGCACCATAACACTTAATTTAGGTAAAGAATGACTTTGACCATAATTGACTTTGACTTTGACCATATGGCCTGTAACTGTTCTTAGATAAGGGATTCCTTTGATATGTTAATGATGATTGGCATTCAAGAGAATGCTGTCCCAGTGTCATATTCAAAAAGAAACATTAATAATAACTCAAAGATTAATAATCGTGCCTCATTTTGTGCATATTTAGAAGGAGGAAAACATATACTGTGATCAGAATGTAAATATGGAGGTTGCCACATAAGCCGTTTGGAAGGAATTACGAAGTCCGCTATATTAGGTCACAAGTAAGTAGTATGACATATCTATGGAATGGAAAAAAGGTAACAAATTCATAGGTGCAATTATTATTTCTGTGGCAAGCACAGAAGAGAAGATAAAACCAAAAGTTAATATTTGGATTTATGTTGTTCTGGAACACAAGGGGGTGGTCACTTAAAGTTTCTATAGGTAAAGATTTACATCACCTAAAAAAAGTATAGTTTTTGTGCTAAATTTATTTTGTGGGTTTTTCTTCTAGTTTACCTGGGGGACCAAGGCACCCCATTTATAAATTATCTTGGTGGTGTCAGTGTTAAAATAGTAATATTTATATTATTGTAATTCAGTGTGGGTGGTGTTAAGGGGGTTTAGTGCAGATAAATAGAGAACTTTAACCCTTTCACCACCAGAAGTCACACACACTCTTGTAGTAGGGTGCATTTGTGACAGTGGCTCTGGCCATTTTTTAACAACATGGATGCAGGCATATGGAAACAGAGTGGGGGTTAACGGGGGTTAGCGAGGAACATATGCTCCAGTACTCCCCCAAGGATCTGCCTTTGAGATCTAGCAACCCTACAAAATACCCTAAACATGGCGTTCATTGTCAAGTCAGGGAAGGCTTCCATGCAAAATAAACTCCAATAGGGTTATTTTAATTTGGAAAGTGTGACCAATAATATATGAGATGTTTTTTCTGGCTTTAATTAGCTATGAAAAACATTGACCGTGATGTAAATTGGCATATTAACTGATTAAAATGTGGTATTCGGTCAACAAATCCAGATTTTCAAGACATATGTTCTTGTGCAACCTTGGTCAACTTTTCATCAGTTAGAATAATTCTTTGGAGGAAATATTTTTTTGTGAAGTTATGTGCCTCATTTGGCAAATTACCTCTCTCAAAAGTAGAAAAAGCTTTTTGGTTTTCAAAAGAGACATGCTTTGCTTAAATTAGTTTTAATAAAACCAAGCAGGAAAAAAATGAAAAGCTATTAAAACATTATGGGCTGTACATGATTGATTGTACATTGAACACAAAGCACTGTTTAGCTTGGCATCTAGAAGTAACAATGGTCCAGGTATTAAAGTTTGGATGAATTTGGAAATCTCATTACCAGTAACCTTGCCAAGAAGTAGTTTATTTTACAAATTGCTTTTACATTTCCCTTGATGTCCAGATCGTATTATTAATTGTGAAAGGCTCAACAATTTTTAATGTAGAAAAACCAATACATTCAAAAGAACATAAAAGGGTCATTTAAGCTTGACTAATGTCTAAATTGTTTGTTTATTTTTATTTAGTTTATTGAAGGAAAAAAAAAAACAATAATGAGTTTATCCAAAGTCGAAAACTTTCCACTCAAAATTCTCAACCAGACACATGCGTTACTGGCAATTGGTTTGGGAGATAAAACACACCTCTTGCCATCTATATTCTACCAAGTGCACTTCGACTGCCAAACATCAAGCGGTTTAATAACTCAGCAGGTAATTAAAAAGTGTATTGCAAAATTTAAATTAATATTACTGAAGCAGAGAAATAACAGAGATTGTTTTCAATTCAGCTATTTTAGGATTTTAGAATTTATTTAAAGAATCCCAGCTCAATATTTAGCTATTTACTATTTTGGAAAAAATGAAACCAATGTGATATATTACGAGCTTTTCTAATCTGATACTTCAAGTGCAGAGACCAAAGTTTATTCTCAAATTCTTAGCAATAACATTCCTAGAGATCTACGGTAACTATAAGTAATACGTGATGATAAGTAGCTATAATGGCAAAAAAAGTCCCACGATATTCCTTTCAGCTCCTATGGTCAGTGGAAACAAATTAAAACAAGAGTGGTTTACAGAATCCATGCCTATTGATCTGCCTCTTGAAATAACAGAAAAAGTAAAAAAAAAAATTAAAAAGACAGTACTAGCAGTCTTCTTATCACAGGCAAATTTCTTTTTTCTATGACATCAAAAGAGCTGTGAGTGTTTCACATCCCAGTTGTCATAAAACAAAGTTCCCATAAGAAGCTGAACCATTGTCATGTTTGACCTAATGGAAAAAAAGATATTTCTGATCAGTAGACCGGCAATGTTGTTGGCAATGTTGCTTTTATCGCTGACATTTACCAGGCTATATTAAAATACAGTTGTGTATATATATATATATATATATGTGTATTTTATTTTTATTTTTTACAAAACATTATTTTGAAAGACACAAGTTTCTGTATTTTCATAGTGGGATAAAGTGGGCGACCGGCATTTAAATGTGAAATGTTGCAGAATTTGAAACAAAGCAGTGGAACCTTCATTTTGAAGTTTAATTTAACAAAGAGGTACTATAATCAACCAGGCCACTCTTAAGAGCTGTGTATGTAGAACTTTAATGTGCTGACAGATCGGTCTCTATGGAACTTAAATTAAAGACACTCTGGGTAAAAGGGCAAGGACTGATTTCTTGCAGCTGGGTTTTATACGATAACAATGCACTATACTATGGCGAGCACATAACTAGCAAAATCCCATTTTAATACCAGGACTGGTTAGTTGACTTTTCAGGCACATCTGGTTTTCCTCCCAGTCATGCACGAGTGCATTGGCATACTGAATGTATTTCCTTATTTATATAGGTAGTTTTTCTTAAATATGAAAAGAGCCCAGTACAGATAATACTCTGAGTAATTGCTTTTAATTTGAACAAAGTCTGTCTGTGCGGAAATTTTAGAAAACACCCTTGGGACGTGTTATATAAACTGCTTAATGGCAACAATTTATTTAATAGCTAAAATGATAGTAACAGAGAAGTAAGTGGCTGGCTGAGTAGGTTATAACAACAGACAATCAGGACGATTTACTAAGAGTGGAGCATCTACTGAAATCAGTTACATGCGTTAGTCAGTTTATAGTGCCTGATATTTACTATCATGAATCGCTTAGCCAGTGTAACAAAGCTTAGTCAGCAGAGCTATATCACTTGTGTAAGTACTAAGAAAGCATAAATACCATTGCTGTTTGCAACTCCAAACCCTAAAAAAACAGAAATACAAAACATGATAAGGTCTGCAACTATGTCATATGTGAAACCGGTTAGGCTCTCTTAAGCAGAGAGAATCAATAAAATGTCTCCATTAATAAATCAAATAATATTGTAATAAAACACGCTGGAGAGGTACCATCGGACCTCAATAAAACCAGGAGATAGTAAGATGGTATAGAAGATGCCTAGTCACCTAAACCCTTTTATAAAATATATGACCCCTTAAAGGGCCTAACAGATGCCCAGTCTCCTGGGCCTTTCAATAACATAATTGTGGCCTTAGTCAACTACCTAGGGTGTACTCAAACATCAACCCAGCTGCATCACCATCAAGTAATTACTTTTGTGTCATGGCCAGTGCCTTGTTCCTCGATACAGAGAGGCATGGGGGAGCCAGGGGCCCCCATTTACCCCCCTTGCAAAGTTCCCTGCAAGGAAAGTAAGATCTGCACTACTAGTGGATGGTGCAGATCACACGCTTCATGCTTTCGGCACTCAGTAAATGAGTCAGAGGCCTGCCAACACTATCCCCTGCGCACTGTGACTCATCACTGAAGAACTACTGTGTTCTGCATCCACTGGAGACCCACTAGATTACCAGGGATATGAACCCTCTTGTAGCACCATGAATATAAAAACCTTACTGGAATACAAGGGATGCAGAACCCTAGCTGGACCACCAGGGAACATTGTTCCTACAAAAAGATAGGCAGGAAGAGAGAAAGACGCAACACTTCCGTTAAATCATGCAATTTTCTATCTGCAAAATTATACACTGTCACTGGGAAGGCAATTAGTATATAAACATACTTAAGCTAGCCGACGTTACCTTCTAATATACATACATATGCAATTTCTCAGAAAATCTTTTTTTCAATAAAGGTCCACTGGTATTTTTGCATAGTTTTGATGATGGTTTTATAAGCTATGTGGAGAAGATAACCAACTACACTGAAACATGCTTTGATTTGCTCATCTTTCATAAACAATAAAACATGTACTTTTTAAAACTACACCTTCATGACTGGGAATATTGCCCCAATCACCCCATTCCCTAAACCTATGGGTACAACAGTTTATAATGTGATGTGGAGTTAGGTAAATTTGGAGTTGGGCGCTTAGGGGTGATGAAACTTAAGGTTTGGGATTGGTGGTCTTAGGGTTAAAAAGGATTGTGCATAGGAGATTCTGTCTGATAAATTAGACTCTAATGTTTATTATTCTCAGAAGTGAGGGACCACCTAGGTCAGGGGTAGGCAACCTTTAAGTAGTACTGTGCCAAAACAAGATCTTCAAGCCCCTTTGCATGCCAGTAATTTTTTTTAAAACGGAGGTGTGCATGTTGACGTATTCTGCTTGTGTTTTTTATGGGTGCCGCAGTTGATTTGTAGTTTTGTATTTGTGCGTATGTGGCCGTATGTAGTTTGTGGTATTGTGTATCATACTTGTGAATGTGGGCTGTGTATCACCTTGTATGTTTAGTGGTTTGTGTATGTGTATGGCTGCTTGCAGGGCCGGCACGTCCTATAGGCTGATTAGGCGACCGCCTAGGGTGTTTCTTTAAGGGGGTGCCGGCAGCAGCTTTACTGCTGGTTTGGGCTGCCCCCCTCTATGAGGGACACATTCTGTATTGCGTGCCAGAGGCCATAGCATCAGGCACTATTGAGCACTTACATAGAGGCAAACTAGCGCTCGGTGCCATCAACCTCATCAGGCAGAGAGCACTGAGAGCTATTCCCCCTACATACCTCATATCCCGGCAGCGCACGGGCGCATTGCACAATCGCTCCAACTCCTTCCCTTGTACTTGGGTCAAGTGGGCGGGAGGGTTGCACGGGTGGAGCCAAGAGAGGCAACCAGGCAAGTGGGACCCACGAAGAGCAATCATGAAATGAAGGCAAGTGGGGAAGTCAGTATGTGTGTGTCTAGATCAGCGTGTGTGTGTGTGTCAGCTTGGATCAGTGTGTGTTACTGCTTGGGTCTCTGTGTGTGTGTGTCTGGATCAGTGTGTGTGTCTGCTTGGGTCTGTGTGTGTGCATGGGTCTGTGTATGTGCATGGGTCAGGGTGTGTGCATGGGTCATGTGTGTATCTGCTTGGGTCTGTGTGTGTGTCTGGATTGGCATGTGTGTCTGCTTGGGTCTGTGTGTGTGCATGGGTCAGTGTAATCGGTGTGTGTGTCTGATTGGGTCTGTGTGTGTGCATTTGGACAGTGTGTGTATCTGCTTGGATCTCTGTGTGTGTGTCTGGATCAGTATGTGTGTCTGCTTGAGTCTGGATCAGTGTGTGTGTGTCTGGATCAGTGTGTGCACATCTGCTTAGGTCTGTGAGTGTGTGTCTGCATGGGTCAGTCTGCATCAGTCATTGTGTGTGTGTATGCTTGGGCCAGTGTGTGTATTTGTGTATGTCAATCTACATAAGTCAGTGTATGTCTGCTTGAGTCAGTGTGTGTGTATGTGTGTGTGTCACTCAGCGTGATTCAGTAATTTATGTGTGCATTGGTCACTAATTGTGTGGACCATTGAGTGTGAGTGAGTGAATGAGTCAGTGTGAGTCTCTGTGTGTGTGTGTTTGTGGGTGTATATGTAAACATGGCATTGTAGCGTAGGTGTCTCTAGTGTCTGTCACTGTGACAGCTATTGGAGTCTTGTTTAACCCTTCAAGGTAAGACAATGCTTTATCTTGTGGGATTAAACCTACAGGACCACTGTGGAGCAAATGGGGCTGCAACTTTTTTTTTTTGCCTTTCTGCGGCAAAAATCATTCCATTAGCCCTGGCTGCTTGTGGTATTGCATGTGAGAGGCTGGGGTTGTGTGTGCCTATGTGGATTATGAGTGATGCAGTTATGTTTGTATCTAGCAGTGTGACTGGTTAGGTCTGTGTGTGTGTGTCTGCATGGGTCAGTGTGTGTGTGTGTGTTTGCATGGGTCAGTGTGTGTGCGTCAGTCTGCATCAGTCATTGTGTGTGTGAATGCTTGGGCCAGTGTGTGTATTTGTGTATGTCAATCTACATAAGTCAGTGTATGTCTGCTTGAGTCAGTGTGTGTATGTGTGTGTGTCACTCAGCGTGATTCAGTAATTTATGTGTGCATTGGTCACTAATTGTGTGGACCATTGAGTGTGAGTGAGTGAATGAGTCAGTGTGAGTCTCTGTGTGTGTGTGTTTGTGGGTGTATATGTAAACATGGCATTGTAGCGTAGGTGTCTCTAGTGTCTGTCACTGTGACAGCTATTGGAGTCTTGTTTAACCCTTCAAGGTAAGACAATGCTTTATCTTGTGGGATTAAACCTACAGGACCACTGTGGAGCGAATGGGGCTGCAAATTTTTTTTTTTGCCTAAGGCGGCAAAAATCATTCCATTAGCCCTGGCTGCTTGTGATATTGCATGTGAGAGGCTGGGGATGTGTGTGCCTATGTGGATTATCAGTGATGCAGTTATGTTTGTATCTAGCAGTGTGACTGGTTTCCCTGGGGTCCAGTAGGGACCAGGCTGGCCAGGTACAGGTCAAGGGCAGGAGCTGTGATAGCAGCAGTGCGGATTCCCATTCACAAGTACTGGGAGGAAGTGATCTGAGGTCACTTCCTCTAAGTGCTGCAATGCATAAATAGAGAATTGTCCCTCACCTGCCATCACGACTTGGGTTGCACAATCAAATACTTGAAGTTTTACTGGGACTCTTGATAGGCCAGAGTCTGTTTGTCACTGGCAGCCTGGAGTGCCGTGCACATGTGCCGTGTGCAAAACCCTGACCTAGGTTCAGCTTTTGTTCTCCTTATCCTTAAGCCTCCTTACTGAGAGTTATCTAATACTAAAAATCTCAAAACTTGACCTTCAGACCCCCAAATATTCCCAATTGATTTTTTTTTTTTTGCAGTCCAAGATGCATGTCATCATCTGTCAGCAATGTAAGTCTTTGTTTTACAACAATGTTCGTGTTAAATGCCAAACTGCAGGGTGATAGCTACTAGGGACAACCAAGTCTGGCCTTCAGGAGTCCCACCTAGAAGTGAAGAGATACAATGTTTGTGTTAGGTAGACTTAGGGTTAAGAGGGATTTTAGGTTAGAAGGTGCATGTTTTCAAGATGCATTGGATTCATGATTCTCAGAAGGCAGGTATCACCACGTTTTGAAGTCCATCTTCACCCTAAACTCTCCAGTTATCAGTTTTCTAACCTTGGAAATCAACTACCCTAGCCCAAAGATCCCTAAATACTCAGATTTTACAAAGGATCAGTGTTTCATCCTGCCTAACCAAAGCTCCTACACTTGATCCAAGCAGAGATAGCTAAATATTCCTAATGTTACAGAGTTAACAGATGCACCCAAAATCTTGTTTTTCCGCACATCCCTAAGAACAAAGTGATGTGAATGCAACAATATAAACTACTTTTTAATGTATACAAAATAAACAAATTTTATGGAATACTATCCAAAATCTCCACTATTTTAGGACTCTGTCCAGAGCATCCATAAATGTTCTCATATTATTTGTAATATATTTAAAAATAGGCTGCCATGGACGAGGCTAGTATGGTTTATAAAAAGGGTTAGGACAATTAAGTTCAACAAAAATAAATTGTAAGGTTTTTTTCTATTTTACAGTCACTTATTGAAACTCCAAAGTTTAGAAATCCATCCAAGAAAAGACCCTAAGCACTCAAAATATTTGAAAAGTTTCCAAAAGAAAATATATCTCAGCTAATAGGGGATTTTTTTAGACATTTTATTTCATGGAAACAATCATACAGTTTTTAAAAAAAAAAAAAAAACTAAATTTTTAGCTCCAGCACAACTGAGGGAATATTAGTGAAAAATTCCTGCAAGGTTACATACAGGCACAGAG